TCTACGTAGATATTTGACCCCTTTTTCTGTAGAAATCGTGGCCTTATGGTCACTTTCTCCGTGTGCATTGTAGAAAATTGACCCCGCAGAATAATGACCCCTTGTCATTTTTTGATGCCAAAACAATTCGTTTTAAAATAGTAGGAATATTCTTGTTAGGCGAATGCATACGGATAATATCAAGCTATCTTATGCTTTGAAGTGAATTAATTTCTGAAAGCTTTTAAGCTAAAATAACGAAATCAAAGCTATAAAATACCTTACATTAATGATACAAACTGTTTATCCCCACTATAGGAAAACAATATTAAAATGTACTAACTAAAGGCTTTAATAGGAAAGATACGAGAATTCGTAGAAACATTTATTACATTTTATACAATGTTTCCACAGTTGCTATTTTAATCTTAAAAAAGGTATTTCCAAACTTCCGCCAGAGTTCGTTTGTACCAAACCAAATCTCAAATCTCTGTGTGCGGAGACGCAGGGGACTATGGGTAGTATGGGTCATTTCTAGCTGGTGTCAGAAAAACGTTTCCGTCATAAATCACTTATGAATCTCTTTGCGGAGTGAGCATCCCCTGTTGACCGGTCACACCCGCCGTGTGCTCCCCGTCACAACTGGGAAATAACGGAAAAATCGGCCGCCAACTCAGTGCACAAATAATGGACTAACAACCAGCACGAAAAACGTTACTCAGCAATTGTCTCAATGATAAATTGTATTTGATGACAAAGTCATTGTATCAACCATAACATTTACGAAATGATGACTCCAAAGGAGACTGCCGATATTCTTGTTTCATCAACGTGCTTGTCAATAATTTACTTCGTTTTAGAAATTGTTCATACTTAGAGTTTGTTCTTGCGTGTCGAATCAACTGACAGAGATATATACGCTCTGTATATATGCAGGTGATGAAGGTATATTGCTGCATAAACAAGGGAATTTGACGATAGAAAAGTTAAAGTCATCACATTTATCGTATTGCTTGATTGTTAGATTACCATTAACGTCTTTTTCAAGTAAAATATCCAAGTATAAATCAGACTCTGTGTTATATTTTATCTCAAGCACACAAGGTACTGTAAACCAACTTTTATTCGCGACGACTTTATTTCGCGATTTACTATGGTTCAAGTAGTTTGGGCGATTAATTTTCGCGATCTAGCCGTTTGTGATAGGTTTTACATAGACACAGAGACTTTAAGGACTGGTTCGCGGCTAGATAAATTCGCGATGACAAGGCTCTCGCGAACTTCGCGAAAATTTCTCGCAGGCGAATAAAAGTTGGTTTACAGTATATCGTGTCGACGTAGGAATGAAAATTACCATTGTTAATTGACAATACGTTGTCGATATACCGGTATCTAAATGTCAAGTTAAGCTTCATATAAATATAAAAATAGATCTGCTAATAACGGAGCGAATTGGTACCCATGGGAATTCCAATAGATTGTTAGAATATCTGGTCTTCAAAAACCACATAGATATTGTCAATCAGTAGCTAAAGCATCTCTTTCACGTCAACGTCATAGTACTTGTTTGTGCAATGTGTTTTAACAAAATAATTTTGCAAATGACCAATGACCAGGTAAGTAAATTTACAAGTTCCATTTTTTTTTTAAATAACAGCTGTCAATGATGTCAAAAATCCTGGTTCTTACCACTTCTTGAATATATTGTTGCGTAGTACAATTGAAGTTTTTCCTTCACTACTGTCAATATTTTACTGAGGAGTAACGAAAGAGGTTTGGTTGAACATTTTCTGGAACCCGCAATGTGTCTTTGTTTGGAATCTTATATAGGATAATTCCAATTCCTTTTGGCTCTGTGGAATATCAAAAATATTTAAAACTGACATATAATTTTGAAGAATTCCTTCCATAGAAAGGGAAGTATGGGTATAAATAGGATTAACACTTGTAGAATTAAATCCAAGTCCTTCTAAAATACAATTTATATAATAAGCCTTACAAACGAAGACAATGTTGTTACCTACTTTGTCAGCAGGGACCAGTATGTACTGATCACGTAATCTATCTATTTTTTTTTCAGTTGCGGATTACTGAACACAGAATGAATGATGGTTTTTATATTGTCCCTCAATCTTTTAATACGCGGCTTTAACATGGATCTGATACATTTAATCCATTCTGAAAAAAAAATTCAACAATTCCACACTTTTACTTAAGCATTAACTTTTGGACGGTATGTGCTAGGACTTTATATCGAAGTAATGGCATGACTAAGAGTTCATTAATTTGCAAAGGTAGTGTCTATAAAATCTCAGAAGAAAGGGGATGTAACAGCAACCATTGGTCAGGTGTCTGTGGGCTAAAAAGTGTTGAAAAGGGATTTTTAATGTTTGTTTGACTTTATATATATCTCTGAAGGTTGAACTATTATTCACTCGGATGTAAATTTTTGCCAGTTTTGGAGGAATTTGTAACATCATCATAAGAACGTTCTCGATGTGTATGGTATTTCCTGTATATACAGGAAAAAGTATAATACCATATATAAGGTAGTTAAAAAGTATGTATTTTAAAGCAGAATATTTACATTCACTAAATATTTTCTCCTTTCTTTCTTAAGAAAACCCATTGCGTTAATCACTGCATGAACTACATTAGGCATGTCGCCTGTACCGATTTCTTGATCAGAGGCTGTTCCATCAATGAAACGTATTTAGAAGTTCGCATCATAAATACAATAATTAAATTTTTTAATCCTTCTTTAAATGATTATTTAAATAGATATAAATATAAACAATAAAATGTCTTTGTTTGTTGATATTACTGGAATTAACAGTCGCAGCTATTGCAGAAAAAATTTTTATAACCCGCCAACGCGGGTTATGTATTTTTTCTGCAACAGCTGATTCCGTTAATTCCAGTAATAACAATCAAAGAAAGCATTTTATTGTTTATAAAGAACATTGCTTTTCTTGCTTCTGTGCTATGTTTTTGAATTTGTAAAAATTTTCAGAGTTTATGGTTATTAGAAACATATCATGCCATTTTCGGAATAAAACTTTTGAATGAGAAAAAAACACCAAAAGATATAAATTTATGTTCCTCAATGAATTCATTGGGATTCTGCAAGCCAAAAATATATCCATACCAGATATATTATTTAATGTTGTGCTACTTTTAAGATATGCAATTGAATATATGTCGGAAAGGATTAAATTACATTAAAAATTCCACCTACTTGCATTTGAAAGTATGAAAAAAAATCAGGAGACACACATTCAAGGTTTTATGGTATAAAAAAAGTAGGGGGTCACATTTCTATGAGGGTCATTTTTCGTCGTGTGTGAAGTCGTAGAATTACTGATCTGGAATGTTTTTCTACAGTCGAAAAATGACCCTACTTGCCGTAGAATATTGACCCGGGGTCATTTTTCTACGTAGAAAAATGACCCCCTGGTCAATATTCTACGGGGGTCACTTTTCGTCGTTACACCGGAACAATGGTTATCAGTTAGAACGGCTCCTTTTTATGATCAGAACGAAAATATTAAACAATTTAGTGTGTAAATAATGACCTTAATATCAGCATTAGTCAGCAATTGAGTTGATGATAAATTGTATTTGCTAAAAAGGTCTTGACAATGTGTTTCGACGAGACTGTTAATTTGTATTCGTGTTTCTTCGACTTGATTGTCAATACAGCAAAACTCTGTAACAACGAAGTCGCTGGGACCTATGAAATAACTTCGCTATATCCATAGTTTTTTATAACCGCTTAAGAAATTCATTAAATTAATATAGCTGGGGATCCAAGACGACTTTGATATATCCGTGAATCTGCAATAGCCGTGTTCGTACTAAACGAGTTTTACTGTAACTTGCCTTGTTAAAGAAGTTTCGTACGTAAAGAATGCTCTCGTGTATCGACTCACAACCAACTTCATACCTAGGGAGCATTGCGTGTTTGAACTCATAAATGCAATTGGTGGACATAAATTAACGTAAAGAAATAGCGCAATAAAATAGCTTAAACTGAATAATGAAAAAACAATTTACTTCAACTTATACAACAATAAAACACTACAAAATATTACATCATGCAATTTTTTTATTAAAGGTAATTATTCTCAACAATGATTGTTATAAACATGCATTTATTTAAACAAACATCAAAAACTATTGGAGTTAACCAATCATTTGGCACATAATTTCGAAATAAATACAGAAAGAAAGTATGTCCTTATCGAAAAATTTGGATCCAAGTAGAGCCAATGTTAGCTAAAATGGCAAAAGTCCTTTCCAAAAAATATATCACAGTAGCTGTTATGAAAGACTGGTAATAGTTCACAAAGATAATGCTCCATCACTGAATGTCAGCAATCTCCAACAATATACAGAAGTCTGTGTCATCCAGTCAGAAGAAAGGTACAGAGGCCACAAAGCAGTGAGAGCCAGAAGTGACAAGAATCTCTGGTCCATAGAAACTGTCTGCTTCTAACAGAGTACAACTGTCAGGTGACAAGTCATCAAGTAACAGGGCTGTGTTAACCACAGGTCTGTAGTCCTCTGGGAGTGTCTGTAATATATATTCATTCAGTTTGCTAATCTCATATAAATATTGTAATTTTCTTTTTTGATATTTCATGATAACGTAAATGGCAAAATCAAACAGATGCAAAACAATCTGGACAGTTTTGCACACATGCAATTTATAGTTATCAGTATCTGGCTAAATTGCTTTATATACAGTTTTATCTTGTATTTATTTGTGACAATAATTAGAGTACCTTTTTAATAGACATTGGCTCTTGTTTGGACCCAGATTTCAATTGGCTACATTTCTCAATAGCCTTCGGTTCAGCACTACTAGACAAAGACGTTTGCTGAAACTGAAATAGTTTTACACAATTTACTTTTAACCATATTTATTTATTTATTCAAGATATTTGAAATATTTTATGTTTACTATAGTATTCACTGTCAAATTATGTTTCATGTATACAAGAATTACTGATACTATGTTAAACAGTTACCTTTTGTTCTAGCACAGACGGTTTTGATGACACTAGAGTTCTATCTACAACACTCTGTTTAGGGCTTAAGCCCACAGTGTCAGTTGCCTTTTTGTCAGCAGTAGAAGTAGCCTGTTTGTGAGTAGAATCAGCTCTGCTCGTATCTTTTTTACCAACAGAAGTCATTTGTTTGGATGTGAAAACATCAGATTCTGTTTCCTTTTTACCATCGGCAGATTCCACCTGACCCTAAAAGCAAAAATGTCAATTTAGACTTTAAAAAAATTCTTAAAATTCTGAAGACATGCATTTCAAATCTTTTAACAGTGACATATATTCCATCTAGGCAAAAAGGCTGTAGCCTACACATCATTTTCTCAGGGACAAAAATTTGGTTGAATAAAGGGGCGGGGAGTTGATAATAAATCGTACCTATGAATTTATTTTGTTGCAAGTGCTAAAACATCCACACTTTTATGCATATCCAACTATTTACAGTTTTGCTTTATATTTAAGGACAAGGTTATTCCCTTTGCTTGAAATTTTTTAAAGCCAAAATCAAAGTGTTATTAATATTAAGTCTGTATCAGAAAATTTAATCAAAAGCAACAGGAGTCCATAATATGTGCAGGAAATGAAATTGATAACTTGAATTAATATTATTTGATTAGTTGGAAATTCAACGTTTTGATCGAATTTTGATTATTCAGTAAGGAAGTTTCCATATGAGAAAAACGATAAATTTAGACTGTGTCAGTTTTATTAAGTAGTCTTCACACATGACAATATAAACTGTAAATACGTCTACAATATTATTTTCATTGGTCAAATTAAAATTGTAGATGTCTGAGCTTCCAAAAATGCTCCCATTGAACCCCCCCCCCATACCTTTAAAGGGAAAGCACCTTGTCTACCTACACACTAGCCTACACATTAGCAGAGAGAATATACGCCACTAACTAATGAACTCTATTAAGTAATTGTCAATTCTTAATTACACTTCTTGAACATAATGAAATATTTGCATTGATTTTAGGTCTTCATCACACTAACCTGTTTTTGCCTGTTCAGGATCCTCATTATTCTGGCCACATATGGAGGATATTCCACTGAATCTGTCTGAGCCTTTGGTGGAACAACAATGCGCTTGACTCCCTTCTAGAAAATAAAAGAAAATTTCAAAATTTCCTGCAACAAAGTTTGCAAGAATGAAATAGATATAAATGGAATTATTTGATAATATTCTTAATTACCTTGCCACCTTTCTGAGTTACAGAAGTTTGTACAGAATTCTCAGTCTGGTGCAAAGTTACATCCATTGGCTTTCCAACTGATTGCTGCATAGGTATTGCATTGTTTTTATCTAGTTTTCTACTCCCTTTAGACATTGTGCTTTTGGAAGTCAAATGTTTGTTTGCACTCACATACTGTACCTGAGAAACATTTTTAGGAATCTTTTCCTTTGACTTTTTAGGTTTAGATTTTGTTTGTGCTTCAACTGGTGCCACAAATGCAGGTACACTCTGTGGTTGAAGACTCCATGATTTCTGGCAATAAAATATATAAATATATATTCGTTTTTGTTATCAATGCAGAAAATACAGTTCCAAGATTGGAAAAAAGCAAAATTAGCTTAGTGGAAATGGGAAAAACCTTACAAGCTTAGCAGAAGACCTCTGGGGATACTCAGCTGATGGTCCAGGTGTTGTCACATTAGGTGTGGGTGTTATCACAGGTGAGTATACACCATTGTAGTAAAAGTTACTACTGACTTCATGGACTGTTTGCTGTGGTAGTTGAATGGTCTGGTTATACACTCCTGTAGCTGATGGAACACTGAGGATGTTGGTAGGAACTTGTAGTCTTGTTCCATAAACCCATCCATCTGTCACAATGGTTGGAGTAGAGCCTTGAGTTTCAAAGCTTGTGGGTAAAATCTGTTATAAAGAGACAACAGGTAAATTATTGCGATCCAACTATTCCTTTATGATTTATCCAAAATTGGATGACAAATAATTTCTTAAAGATATTAATGCAGATAAATAAATGGTGTTACAGTATTGTGTTTTCATTTTCTGATATTTTTATGTACAGGGAAGTATCACCAGTACGTAGTGAAAGTGATAAATGAAAGATGATCAGGAATTATGAGTTAATTTCCAAACATTATCATTGCACATCACTGTACGTCCAGTCAAAACTTGTCACTTTCAGAATTAAATAAGCAGGACATTATGTGAAAACTTCTTGCTTAAACATTGAATGGTACTCACCAGTTCAGTTGCAGAGATTGGCTGTTGGAGCTCTGCCTGTGTCAAAGTCGGGTTTAAAATTTGGACAGCAAAAGTACTCTGGTCTGAGGGATGAATGTATCCCTGGCTGTTTAAGACAAGCTGTTGCTTGGTCTCCTGAGATGGCTGCTGGATGGACACCCATGGTAGGGTCTGTCCAGATCTCAGCTCATTCAAAATCAATTGTGGTTGCACATTTGTGAAATCAGTCTAAAATGAAGAAAAAATAAATAAGTATATTAGAAAATGGAAAAACGTTGAACATACTTAGAAAACGATATTTTTGCTGCAATTAGCAACCTAAAGTAAAAATTAATTTCAACATCTCTATCGTCAACTGCCCTAAGGAAGCAATATACCCTTATCACCTGCATATCTCTCAATTAATTTGATACGCAAGAACATGTTCTATTTTTGAACAATTTCTAGAATAAAGCAAGCTTTTGACAAACAAATTGATGAAGGTAGGATATCAACAGTTCTCAACAGTCCTACTTAATGACATCATTTTGCAAGTTCTTTGGTCGATACAATCACCTTGACAGCAAATACAGTTTATCATTAAGACATCAAACAATTTATCATTGTTTCAAATGTTTATTGTCGTTTTTTAAAACGAATTATCATGCCATTATTTAGATACTAAATGAATAGTATATGAATAATATATAAGTCAAAATTTGTAGCTCTTCATGGACAAGTATTGGCGTCTCCATAAGTGAAAAATTCTCGAGAGTGACATTAAACATTATGCAATCTATCAATCAAATATTTTTCTAATACAACTTGTGTCGGGACAAATGAAGAAAAGAAAATGGTTTCTTACAAAGTGACCTTGAAATTGACCAATTTTTTTTTTTTCAATTTCATGACCAACTTAACGGTCAAATTAAAATATAGAGATAATGAACCATATTGAAGCACAAAAGTCCATTGAAATAATCACGGGAGCAGAGTACCATAAATTTGAAAATTTTTACGTTGATTTTATTTTGCGAATGTGGGTCAAAAAGCTGTTGTTTTTATTTTGTTCGATATAACAACTGGCTCTTTTTCTTGAAGAAACAATTTAAATGACTCGAATACAATGACTGACAAACCATCGGATACCAAGGTAATTAGGGCATTCTCAAAACACAAATTATCACGGGTAATTAATAGTTTGTATCAAAAACAGGTTTCTTAAAATGACCACTGCTTTGTTTACATTTTTTGTTGTTCATTAATTTTTTAGGAAAAAAATATTTTTGCGAATGCAATGAACTCGCAAAATTGCCAAAAAAAAAATTAGCTACAGTAAAAATTTCTAAATTTACGGTACACATGGACATAAAACATTAGGTGGGACCAGGTACAAGTTTACATGAGTAAATAATGGCCTAACAATAGTATAAAAAAAATTGGAGTTAGCGCTCGATATAATTAAATAGATTATATTTGCTGACAATGTTGTTCTGTTGACCATAGAACTTACATACGAGACTGTTATCATCAACTTATTTGTCAATAGTTTGCCATTTTCTAGAAATTGTATGCATGGGATCAACTGAAAGAATCAAAGTCTATTTGCAGGTGATAACGGTTTATTGCTACACTGTACACAAGTTGGGGATATAGGCTATACAAAAATTGAGGCCATCAAAATAATAAGATTACTTGTAAGATTGGCGTCTTTTTCTAGTAAAATATCCAAATATGACAGAGATATGTCTTTAATTTCAAGGTCACTGGATTTATCGAGTTGTCATATGAATGAAAGTGACTAAATTTTGAAATAATAAAACATCGCTGATATTTTCAAATGTCAGGTTGAATGTGCAAGCAGTTTGTGTTTTCTTCTCCTCAAGCATAGTTTTAAAAAATAAATTTTGCGTTATTTATAAATCAAATTACGCCCCAAAACTTTTTGCATATAACAATATCGAATATATTCTGTAATGACTTTGATTTAAAAATACATCCTGCAAGTGACCTTGCAATACCTTAATAACCTAAATAAAGGTAGTTCCAGACCTAACCTAAAAACATACCTGTTGTTGTATCCTGTTTCCAGGTTGAGAAGGATACACAGTACAATTGGTGACATTAGGGTTCACTGTCTCAGTGCTGGCGACTGAGCGACCAGTAGGAAGAACTGTGGACGTTATAAATTGCTGTATTTGTTCATTGCTCAACAGAGGTTTTGCCACCTGAAAAATAAATGTTTTATGGAATATACTTCTGAAATCTTTATTAATTTGTCTGAATCAGTGTGTGTTTACCGGTATATCAGGATGAGAAAAGTACTTAAATCTGACTTTAAAAAAAATAATTAAGCAATTTTAAAAGGGGTTGCTAACTGCATGCAAAAAAGTATACTAATAATTGCCAATTGTCTATATGGGTACCATTAATTCTCTGTAACGTACCCCATTTGTCAACACTCTGCCACTTGTACGATTGGGTCCTGTGTTTTGAAATACTGCTTGATTGGAAGCCTGAATATAACGCTTTCTTGGTGGCCCAACCTGCAATGAATTTAAATATTTAATTGTAATTTCATATGTTACAAATATAAGCAGACAAATATGAATGAAAACGTGGACTAATGGAAAAGATAAAAGTTGATAGAAGAAAGAAAGAGATTTGAGAAAAAATAGATTAAGACCTTAAATAAACTTACATTGTTTTATACCAATGTTTATTACATATAAAACAAAACTGAGACCTCCACATCTCTCCCGGAAGTGGTGGGCGTGGTCAAGATGTCCACTCCCAGCCTCTTGTAAATACTCGAGGCAGCTTCCGGGTTGGCAAACTGAACATCCACTCTCTTCTGAAATGACAGAAAATGAATTGTTTGAGCAATAATGAACACAATTTTTAAGAAAATTTCTTACATATTTTAAGTTAGGGGTGGGGGCAGTCAATCAAAATTCTAGTTTAGCAAGCGATAAAGAAAAAAATGTTGTTGTTGTTGTTGTTGTTTTTCATAACAGATTAAATTCATTATTAACGAATTTAAAAAACGTTTTTAACAAATTTAATTCATTATAACGACAAATTAGTATATTAAAAATATCTTTAAAATAAAATTCATAAATGGGCTTCCGAAGTGACTGAAAGAAAAAGCACCCCCCGTATTACAACATAAATGCTTGTCTCCTAATACGGTCTGGTATTCTAAAGAGTGTAATATTACATAATTATTATCCCCTGGTAACAGGGTTGGGGTAATAGTCTCGTGACATACATGTACTTGGGGGTGGGGTGGGGGGAGGTTAATATGTCCTTTGTGCGATGCGGAAGTTTCCAACCTCATCGTCACATACCCACAGCTGATGCGATCACCTGTGGCTATGCCGACCATGTTGAAACCTGGAATGTTGGGTTAACTTGGAATAACATACTAAAGAAAAATTACAATTTTCTGTACGCTCTCAACATGTTCATTGTATTTTTTTTTAATCAATAGCTACATGTTAGCCTTCTTGCCTAGGGCCTATTATATTCCCCTCTCTAAAAAAAGTTTGTCAGATGGTGTTATTTCAAAAAATATTGCTGTTCCCATCTTTTAAATTTATGTGAAAAAATAAACGATTCAGAAACACTTAATTAAAGGACTCAAAAGAATTTAGTTTTCATCCTTAATTTCACAGAGTTTGAAAATTATGATATAGTGAGAAAATCAACGATCTTTCATTGTATATTATACTCATCATATTTTTGGAATTTTTCTGCACATGAAATTACACTGCAATTTGATTAATGCAGTTCTCATTTTTCTACTCTAGGTCCTTATTTATTCATTCCACTTTGTTTAGAATCCCGCAAAAGGGTGCAAAAAAGCCACGAATTTTCTTCGTAACTTAAGCAATATTCAGTATTCTAAACTTTATTAATCTCATGTTATTAGTTTACTAAGGGTTGTAATGGTAAAAATATTCAAAAGACCAAAGATAAATCCTTCAAATACGTTTGTATATATATATACTTAGGTTTGTAAATACTTATAGACTGCTGTCTCATGTTTGCGATTTTAAATTTTCCCTCCCTAGCAACAGGCATTTTAAATTTTCCTCACAAAAATACACAAATATGGTCATTACCCTTTTATGACTCTGACTGTTCATTTCTGTAGCTGTATCGATTGTTTGTTATCAAATATTCCAGAAAATATTCGCCTAGCGAAAATCACGTCTTATCTCAACAACTGATGCTGAAACTATGAGCTGTAACCAAAACACATCACACAGCCTAGCAATCGTGACGTCATCATTAGGACGACAACCAATGAAAACATTTTTCTAATTTTAGCGAATGGAATTTCCATAGAAGTGAATCATTAGCCATTCGGCAAATCTCGGATAATTCCGTCACCTATTATGATCACTCGGCCGATTCGTATCTCATGATCTAACGTTTAATGATGGCGACGAAATCAGCCGGGCTTTGTCGAATATTCTTTTACACCAATCGCAAATTATCGGTCTTTTCCGGCTGAGATCGATAATCTGCCGGGAAGGCCCGAGAAGCAATTTCCAGTTTCCGACTAGCGAAAAAACGTTGTTTTTCCGACCTCTGACGGAAAGATCCGAGATGATGCGATTGGCCCTAGAAGATACATGCGAAGTACCTTATAAACAAAGAGTAGATATCGGCTACCCTAGTCCGAAATATCTGACGTCTTCCTGACTTTTTAACGATTTTGGTATTTTAGGTGAAAAAAGCCTGGAAAACGTCAGATATTTTGGACTACATCTACCCGATATCCAAGATATTCGATTTTTAAATTATTAATTTGAATTGTCATATTGACCGTTCTGTTCATGTAGATGAATTTAAAAAAAAAACCTGAAAGAACGTCAAAGATACTCAAGCTGCGAAAGTACCATAAATTTATCACAGGTACTGTACTGTGGACAGGACCCCCCACCCCCACCCCCAAAATTCAGCCCCAGGGCTTATTGGACTTTTCCCACAAATTCTTCATCATATGCATGTACAATGTTAAGAAATAGTAAAATCCCCAAAATAATGGCTCCACATAAAAATACCCTAATATACTTTATAAAAGAGATCTCTTATAATGTACAGTAGCCTTAAGGGTATTTTTATGTGGTGCGATTATTTTTGGGGTTTTTACGATTTCTTCTCGATTCTGAGAACCTTGCATTCCCTAGACGTACTATGAATTATCGTAAATCTGAATATGTAATTTTTAAATTTAATATTGTTTGTTCGCTTTTTCCTTCTTTTTTAAAAGTAAAATATCGGTAGTGTACATGTACATTTAAATAACCAATTACCACAATTTACACTTAAAATACACTAAAACCTAGGAGCTTCCAGGCGCCCCACCACAGCTATGATCTAGACCCAGACCCCCTGTCTGCAAGAATTTATCACCTCACCCCAACCCATCCCATCACAATTTCTGCATCTACTGTAACTGCATTAGCCACGTGCACACATTTTCATAACGGTACAACAAATAAGATCCAAATGGAATTTCAAGCTGATATATTGTAAATAGGTTGATAATTTTAAAAATATTTATAAATAATAAATTATATTAAAGGAATTTTGTATTTCTTGTTTTTATGATTATTTCACTTGATCATCATTATTGTTTCGATATATGTTTCTCATTAATAATAATTTTAAATGCACATATTTCTTCAACACCCCATCGTGTGTGTCTACATGTGAACTTTAAAATGTCACCAATATAAAAATTATATATCCTTAATGGAAGAATTGCTCTTCTTCATCTGTCTATTACTTTATCATGTTTATCAATAATTATCATATTATGATACAGTGTGTGTGATTATATCCCTGATTTGGTAATAAATTATATTCTATATCAGTGGCGGATCCAGGAATCTTGTAGAGGGTGTTAGGTCGGAGGAGGGGCGCACAGCCACACCAAAAATTAATTAATTATTTTTTCTGTATATTTGGAAACAAAAATATGGGGGGGGCGTGCCCCTCTAAATCCGCCATTGATTTGAGTTGAAACACATGCAACTGGAAATATGCACATTCCTGTATTACCCTTCTCTTAATTGTACTATTGAATGATCATTACTCTTTCAATCGGTATATAATGCCTATGTATGGCACGCCAAATTCACAAAAATGAGATAAACCTAGTTTCACAATTGATAAACTAGGTTTATCGACTGTAAACTATAGTTTACAAACCGTAAACTATAGTTAACGATTCGTTAAGTATAGTTAACGATTCGTTAAGTATAGTTTTCATCTGTAAAACTATATTTAACGATCGTTAACTATAGTTTACGAATGCTAATCTAAGTTTATCTGTCTGAATAAAGCGTTAACAATAGATTTTGTTGATAAACATAGATTCACGTTTGTAAACTATAGTTTACAATCGTAAACTATAGTTAAGAGTTGTAAATCATAGTTTCACAAATCGTGAAACTATATTTATCAGATCGTTAACTATAGTTAACGGTTTGTAAACTATAGTTTACAAATCGTGAAACTATATTTATCAGATAATCTATGTTTTGCGATCGCAAATGATTGTTTTCGATGTTAAGTATAGTTTACGGTTGTGAAACATAGATTATCGTGTTAACTACGGTTTACAGATGTAAAATATAGATTAACGTTGTTAACTATAGTTTACAGTCCGTAAACTATAGTTTACAACCGATAAACCTAGTTTATCGACTGTGAAACTATGTTTTGCTCATTTTTGTGGATTTGGCGTGCCATACTTATGGCTATTTTACCTATTTGGCCAAATCCAGACATGTGATACATGCCATGTGGTTTGAAGAACCAATAGGCTTACTTTAGAATTTTTCCCGCAATTAGTGAACTGTCTTTGTTCATCAAAAAGACAGGTTTCTTTGAGGAAAGCTCTAGTTAGTGTATATGTTGAACTTACTGTTTCTATTATGAAGTCTGTCATATTAGAACCATCCTGACAAACCTGAAACCTGACAGATTTAATATTGGTATGTAAGTATATGTATGTGTAGTATACTAGACATATTCAAGCAGCTTAAGGGGGATGTACGGCCACCTTTAGTGCTGTGAGAACAAAATGTAAACATTTCTTCAAATGGCAAAAATACATCATATTTTGATCAAATTTTAAGTCCTTATGATAAAGATACAATAAATATGCATAACTGAATGCATGTTGTGCATATATAATCTATACTTTTGCAGAAAAATGCTTTTGATATGCTCCTTAGAACTGCGCAGCTACAGAATTCAGCAGAGCCTTAAAAAATCCAAAAAAATATGCAAACTGTGCATCAATGTTCTCTCTACAACCATTTGTTGAGAAAATGTCTAAATTTTGCACTTTTAAATGATAATTTCAAGTTCAAAACAAGGTATCGTTGTCTTCAAAAAGAGTTTAAAGAACCATGAAAGTAGTTCATGCATAGCAGCACGTGGTCTATTTTTAGCACAGAATTTTGTTTTCCAGACCTCTTCTTAATATGGAGGGACATAACAATCTTTAAATGTAGAAGAGAATTACAGTTGCAAAATATTTCAAATAGTATGAACACTTTTAAAAGAGGAAATGTGTTATAGTATGGCTTGAAGTAATTTATTTAGTATTATTATCGAACAGTTGTTAAATAATGTACTTATAAAATCGATATGAATGACCTCGATTTAGTACCTACTTGTACGAGGGGTGATCAAAAAGTTCGCGAACTATCTCTATATCTACAAAA